CAAATTTCATACTCGGCGTACACGCAAAAATTTTTGACATTTTCACAGCTGTACTTATAAAGAATACTAGCTTTTGATATGTAGTACGTCGTTGAAGATGAGCATGGTTGCTTCAGCGAACAAAATGATGTCATATGCATACTGTACTACTGTCTATTCTCATGTACTATGAACCGTAGCCTGCATAAATGCCCCCCCCCCCAAATTCGTTAGACAGCTTGGAATAATGGCGCGGTGAAACACGTCGTAAATTTTGCTCTTGGAGAAGTAAGGCACCAATTAACAAATCCAGGCACATGATCATATATATCTTTGCCAACAAAATCTATGGATCTTTTAATATTTGAAGAGATCAATTGTAGATAACCAAATCTTTCAGTAGACATTATAACATCTATACTGAAAACTTCAAAGCAATATAAAATGATTGATTTATCAAAAAGTACATACCGAATCATGACATTAGTTTAATCTAAGAGCATCAGGTAAAATGTTTTAGGGCACTGCGCTTTTTTGGATTTGCACCACGGAGTCGAAAAGCCCTTTGCGCATTTCAGCTGGCCTTATATGCCAAGTAATGAACTTGCTGAAAAGCACGGGGAGCATAGGATGAGCAGATGTTCGTGATCGATGGCGACCAAGGTACAACCGAGTGACGAACAACAACCAAATCGTCAAAGAATGACGACAATCGTGAAGAGCAAAAGTCAGTGAGGAAAGTAATGATCGAATCAGATGATAAACTCGTTGTAAGGTGGCGGAGGAGGAGGTGAGGTGCACTGGCTGACGAATATCGGCATACAACGGCAGTGGCGCCGAGATGAGTTCAGGGGTCGGGCAATGACTAGAAATATGGACACGACAAAGTAAACGGTCATCAGCAGTGCCAAAACGGCCGTCAGCACGAAGGTGCCGACTTGCATCCACTGCTGGAGGTTCGGGTGTACAGTAACGACCTCGCTTCGAGCCACGCTGACGGTCGGCTGCACAATCAGTTCATGAGTCAAACACCACCGTCCGACAACGTTGAACGCGATGCATTTGTAGGTACCTGAATCGCGAATGCCGGCCGCATTGATCAGCAGGTCATGGGAGGACATAAAGATTCGATGGTCCTGCTGTACAGCAACCGAATCCTAAAAAAACAAGCACGTCAGGCTTTTAGACGCAACAATTTAAATACATCAAACTGATCTCCAACATTCTCTGGAAAGATTCACAGTCGAGTGCGACGTGACCGATATGTGAGCGAATGTCTCCAAAACGAAAAGAAGAGTGCTTTCTTGTTCTCCTGCCCGTTGCTCCATTCAGATTAACAGAGATGCAGTGGAGCAGGTGGAGAAGGTCAAGTACCTCGGAACTGTATTTACTAGTGATGGAAAGTTGGACGAGGAGATCGACCGGCGAATTGGTGTAGCCATTGGCGTTCTGCGTGAACTAGTCTGACCCATTGGACGAAAGCAGAGCTCAGTAGGAACTAAGCTCTCGATATTAAAGTCGATCTTTATCCCCATACTTACCTACGGTCATGAATCATGGACCTTCACTGAAAAACTTCGAACCCGGTTACAAGCTGCTGAAATGGGCTTTCTTAGACGAGTCGCTGGCCTTAC